TAGTACAAAAAAAAGTTTTCTTTGGACAATCACTAGAAAATTTCTACTTTCGCATCTATAGTAATTTATATATAGAATTGCGTCACATTTCACTATGATTATTTTTTAGTTGACTGGAGAATCGTTAATTAAATTATTAAAAATTGTTTTAAAACTTGTACTCCTTTGAGTAGTAGTTGATCAAGAAAATTATTAATAGTTTGGACTTCTATTATTTTATTTAAATAATTGTTGTTTAAATAAAAATTTGTAATAAGATTTGTAAATTGGATTTTATAATTTATTGCTATAGTGTTATATTGCTAGTCTCTATAAGTTATGTGACTAGCAATAATATATAGATTAGCAGTTTGTATTACATAAGATCAGCAGTTTGTATTATATAAGATCAGCAGTTTGTATTATATAGGATTGGCAGTTTGTATTACATAAGATTAGCAGTTTGTATTATATTAATATATAGTAATTATATTGGTAACATTATTCAAAAAATCAAGTTAAAGATATGTAGGAGTTAGGAGTTAGTATATACTGCTATATAGTGTAATGGCTGGTTTGGAAGAGTAACGCAACGTATAATATATGCACAATGTAGTAATAATTGCTAGAAGTAGTAAGCTAATAAGAAAATCGTAACTATTATACTTTACAACAAATAAGAAAATAGATGCTTCACCGTTTCAATACAAAAGATACATATTCTAAAACCTACACTATTATATCAGAGGTATATGCTATGTTAACTAGTAATGTAAACCAAACTTGAATAGAATCTAATTTGAGTTTGGGTTAACTAATAAGAGGAACCGTCAATATTATATAACTGATCTTTCATCTGGTGTAAACTATATAAAAAAATTAATTTACAATATCAAATCAGCTAGTACATGTTATGATTATAATTCAACATCATTTTTATTATAATAAAATGGTGTTGAATATAATCATAACATGCACTAGCGGAATGATCTAATATTGTAAAATGATTTTTTATATAGTTTATACTAGGTGAAAGATCAGTTGTATAACATTGACTGTTTCTCTTGTTGGGTTAACTATTATATTAATAGTACAAAGGAATTTTCTCTTACAATAACAATTTATTTGTTTTATGATTTACGCTATACTATTACAACCAACTAACTATAATACTATTGTTGAATCTAGTAAAATTTACATCGCTAATACGTATTAATATCGATATACATACTGCCTCAATATAGTAGTTACAATACTGGCACAATTCCTTAAAATTACTAATTGTACATATATATATTCTTTAATTTACTTAATGCAACTAACAATTTCAAGCTAATTAAAGTATAACAATTAACACAATAACATAATCACTATATAATGGGTATTTACTATATATATAAAGTTGGATACTTTAAATGAAACTAAAACACTACATATAATTTGTCAAAATATCAAATAAAGCACATATGCTGCAGTAGTAAATAAATAAAATAAGGCTATATAGTGCATATACTATTTATAACAACTTTAAACCTGTATAAATAATATTTTGTTGGCTTTCAATCACATAATTAGATCAATATTTTATATCAACAAAATTAAATACCTTGCAATTCTTCTGGTAATGGCCCAAACCACTACACTTTTTGCATCGATATTGATTTGCTGTAGGTTTTGATATTTCATATGCCGATTTTAAACGTTTGATACCTTTGGAACGACCTCTACCATGGTGTATTTTTGGGTTTTGTATATAGGGAATCATAGGATCGCTATTTTCTTTTTTATCATCCAGACTATCAATTTCTTGCAAATCATCTGATTCAAATTGCTTGTCATCATCATCTTCAACAAAATCTTTAAGCAATTTGATTAAATGTTGTGATTTTGTTTTATTCTGTAATGCTTTATGAAGGGCCCTTTTGTATGTGCCATGAATATTTCCATACATCATTTTTTGTTCAAGAGTTGTCAAATTTTCTGCTCGGAAATCAGACTTTTCTTGTTTAAGATACAAATACGGAACTGGAAAATCAGGTGCTTTTAGTACTTCTATAGAAAACTTGTCTGCTACTATAAATAGCTTCTCTGCGCCAATTTCTTTTATACTGTACCAATGTGAAGACAGCATTCGAATGTGAAACTTAGCATTATTTGTACTTAGTATTACCTGAAAGTAATGCTAATATACTATATTACATCATATAATAAATAAACAAGAACACAGATATGACTAATTCTTTAATATCAAAATATGATGCTTTATTTTTGTTGAATTTCTAGTACAAATAGCTTAAGTCTCCTAGATATTGTTCAAGCCGGCAAATTCAATCAGTTGATTAAAACTCGTTTGCATATTATCACTATTAAATTCTTTATGAGAATTGTTAGAATCATCATCCTATTAAAAACAACCTTAATATACTACACCATATTTATTCAAACAAAATAAATAATTAGACCCTTACTTCACTAGAATATATCATATCTTTAATTATACTTGACATATAATAAACTGACTGGTTAATTTTATTATATTGCATTTGTAAAATAGTTGATGTAAGAAACTTTTGAATACACTTGTCAATATTAGTAAACAAAAAGTTCACTTTATCCTGATTTTTCATATTTGGAATTGAGAGCTTCCAAAATTTATATTTGTTCTCTCTATTTTGAATATCCAATAACCTAGTAATCTCAGTTAAAAGATTACATAAAGAGACATTTGAACTATATAATAACCGTTTCAGGCATGCATTTACTGATTCAACTTATAATATAGCAATCATTCCTCTGGTAAACTTGAAACACGTAAAACAATGGGCTCAATAAGCTTTTGATTTAAAAAGGAACTCTAAATAACTTTTGGTACTAGGATAATCTTGAGTAAGTTTATTAAACTGTTGATGAAAAAAAATTTCAGAGAAACTGTTATGGCAAATATAGAAGTCTTTAAGAAAGTTTTGATATGTATCACCTAACAGCTTTTTGAGATTTTTATGTAGATTTTGTGTTAAATGATAAGCACAATGAATCAGATATATCATAGTAAATACTTGACAAACTGCAGCATCAACTGCTGAATCAGCATCAGTAAGAATAATAGCTGGATAAACATTTGTGGCTTTAATGATTTCAGTAAAAGTCCACTTATATGAGCCAACACTTTCATCACAAAGAAGTGCTTATGCTAATAAAATATTTTTGCGATTACTGTCAAACCCAACAAATAATGCTAATGCCATCCTGTAACGATTAGTCTTGTGGGTAACATCATGTAAAATACAGTCTGAGTATTGAATCCAATTTTTGACTTGACCTGGTGTTATCTATAGTAAATGCGTTAAGGTATTGTCTTTATCAAACTTATGTATGACAACTCAACAAGAATCCATATCTTTTTTCTGGTCAAGCCAGTTGGAAACCTATAAAGTAATACATCAATCAAACCAATCAAACCTAATTTATATCATTTGCTTATATAATAATAAACTAGATCATACCTTTGCCGCATCATTAAGCAATGATTTGTTAGTAGAATAAAATTTTTGGATTACAGAATACTGTACAGGTCTTTTAAGAATATTGTTCGCATCAGATATTTGCTTTCTAGAAACTTTCTTTATACAGTTGCTCCAAATTTGCAATTTTCAGTTATAAATTTTACATTGGCCAGCATTTCGGCAGTAAATTGTTTTTCATCTTTGAACATAATTCTGCTTGGATTCAATAAATGGTTTTTATGAGTATCAACTATTTTGGTAATAAATATAGAACGTTCTATATTATTAATTTTAGGATATGAGACATTGACAAGATAAGGACATTGAATCTTTTTAATAACTATCTTTTTCAGTATTTGATTCGTAAAACCCTTTATGATCACATAAATAAGTTCTTCGACAAAGAACTCTATTTTTCTGAGTAACGCGACCTTTAATAAAATAAAATCCTTTATCCTTTGCCCATTTATTAAGGAATAACTCGCATTCATCCCATGTACCAAATTTTTTTACAGAAAATAAGGATGATGATTATATTTCATTTTGTGATAGCATATCATCATGGCTCTCTATTAATAACAAAATAAAAAATATTAATATGCTAACATCATGTTTAACAATGTCCTTATTATTTATAACAAACTCTTAACAAACCTATTTCAAATTCAGAATCCATAGCTTCTTCATTTATAAAATCATTTGATGCTTTATCCATAAAATGTTCTTGCTCTTTATTCTCTTCATTTATAACAAGGAAATCTTCTGATTTTTTATTTACAGTCAAGTAAATAACAACCCAAAAAAAAACTAGTTTGTAATATTAGATAAACTTGAATTAGTTTTTATCTAATAAATATGTCTCAAGAAATCAAGACTTTAGTTTAAAATTACTACACTTATCCAAGAAGTATTTGTACTATCAAATATGCCTGCTAAAATAAATATCAGAAAAAAGATTATTGAAATTAGATGCTCTTAATTCAGATTTTATTAAAAATTCTAATGTTAATACTGCGAATATAATAGGCAATAGAGATCTTTACCTCTTTATAGCTTTATTAAATATTTAACAAAACTACTACTTGCACTTTAATGACACTTCAATGATATCACAATGCAAAACCTGAAGGCTATTGATGTATTATCAAATAAAAAATTCACACCTGTTGAAATAAAGAGTATCAGAAAAAGGGTTATGATCAAAGTAAGACAGTCCACAACAATTATTATACTTATAAGCAAAAGGTACTGGTATAATCAAAGTCAGCTTTGAGTAAGGCTTTATAGCTTTCAAGTGAAACTTTAAAATAGTAAAGCAATGCTCTTAGTTTAGACTTCAAAATAAAAAACCTAATGTCAATACTGCAGATGTGGTGGATAATTAAAAACTTTACTTTTTACGGCTTTAACAAAACCACACACTTGCAGTCACAGACGAAACCACATACTAGCACTTCAATAAACTCATGAAACCACACACTTATATCAATGAACTCACAGATGAAACTCACACAGACAAAACCAAACACTTG